ACAAATAGAGCTGGGTGTCATCCGCGAAGCAGTGAAAATGAATATTGAATCTGCGGAAGATATTGCCAAGGGGAAGGATGCATGTAATGAAAAGGAGGGGCCCAAGGACAGCGCCCTGGGGCACACCAGAAGAGACAGAAGAGGGCTGTGGGTTGAAGTATCTTGGGGTCTTGTTCATGAGTGAGGGAAAGCTGGAGCGCGAAATCGAGAAGCGGATTGGGACTGATTCTGCAGTGATGGGGGCGTTGTACCGAACTGTCGTGGTGAAGAGAGAGCTGAGTCAGAAGGTGAAGCTCTCAATTTACCGGCAGATCTATGTTCCTACCCTCACCTATGGTCATGAGCTTTGGGTAGTGACCGAAAGAACGAGCTTGCGGATACAAGCGGCCAAATGAGTTTTCTCTTCAGAGTGTGTGGGCTCTCTCTTAGAGATAGGGTGAGAAGGCACTTCCTGTGTATTCTTGCTCAGCTAGCTAAACAGCTAACAAACGAAGAAGAGAGGCCTCGGTAGAACATGAACATTCAGTCATCTGGAAGGGGCTCGGAGTAGATTCACTGCTCCTCCACATCAAGAGGAGCCAGTTGAGATGGCTCGAGCATCTGGTCAGGATGCCTCCTGGACATCTCCCTGGTGAGGTTTTCCAGTCACGTCCAACTGGGAGGAGGCCTACAGGGAGACCCAGGACACGCTGGAGGGACTATGTCTCTCACCTGGCCAGGGAACTCCTTGGGATTCCCCAGGAAGAGTTGACCCAAGTGGCTGGGGGGAGGGAAGTCTGAGCCTCTCAACTTAGGCTGCTGCCCCCGCGATCCGACTCCGGATAAGCAAATGAAAATGGATGGATGGAAATATATAACTAGTTGGAATAGTGATCTCAGTGCACTGATCAGTAGGCACAATTGGAGTGTTTACTTAGTGAAGTGCCTTGGGATGAGTCTTGATGCTATATTGATTAAATGAACTGAAATGAATGGAAACATTGCTGATTCATGATCGTGTCCCGAGGTCCTTTCTTAACACATGGCAGAATATCTCTAAAGTTATTTCTAAAGCCATCACGACAATTGGGTGCTTCCTTGAGTTTGGTCAAAGGAGAGGATTGGGTCAAAAATCTGCATAATTATCTTTCCGTGTGAACTGAGCCCAACTCTCACTTCCTGCCTGGCTCAGTCAAACATACTTGAAGCAGTTTGGTCAGTCAGATGTTAAAGGCTCTCTGAGACCCATCATCCTCCGCCCCCTGTGGTCTCCAGATTAAAAACCTGTGTGCCCTGCTGAGTTGGAAATGTTCCTGTGAAGTTGGGCTTTGATGTAACATAATTTCAAGGATGGAGAACATTTTATGAGGAAAGCACATTCATGCTTGGATTCCAGTGTTGTAAATGGAAGAGCAAGCTATAACAAAGTTTAGAGAGTTTTCTTGTATGTGCTGCACTTTTTAAAATTCAGCCACAGCACTTCAGTTGGGCTCAAGACCAAGCGTGATCTATTTATTCATACGTTTCTTTGTTATTTCAAAAGTTCTGTTCGTGACTGATCATCATCATCATCATCATTGTCATAATTCAAACATTTTCTTCACTATTTCCTATCTGCGGCTGATGCAGGAAATAGGGGTAGAAGACGTCTAGCCTGTGACAATCATGTTTCAAAAATAACAAGTAAAAGGCATTTTCTCAGTGAACTTGGGCTTTAAGTCCTTGTAATGACATTGTTTTTATTGATATCTCTTAATTTTTTACCTTTGCTTTTATGTTTGTTTTATTGCTATTTTATAGTTCTGGTCTGATTGTTTGGTTTTATTTTTGCTGTACAGAGTTATGGTGCAGCTCTGTTGTTTTTAAGGTGCTTTATAAATAAATTTGACATTGACTTTAAGAGATCTGGTGCATTAAACAGCTCACCTCTGTCACCTGCTTACACAAAATGGTAACTGCAGCCTTTAAAGGGTGATCTCCGAACCCTTTTAGACTGTAATTACCAGGAAGTAAAAAAAACCAACATGTGGGTTAGCTATACTTTGCAACTTTTTCACATTTTTAGATAATGTTGTTGAGCCAGTATGCGCTAAAATGACCCTTTACCGGGTGAATGAAATGCCACTCAGACCCCTAGCGCCCCCTGTGGCCAGAAACTCGTATTTGCAACTTCAGACTGGCGGGCCGCTCTGTTGGAGCTGACATACCTGGCGCTGCAGTCTGGTTCCAGCACATTTATTGCATGTTTTAGATGATGAACACAGCTGATTTGTTTAATTTAGGGATGAACCGCTCCTGTATTTCAGCTGTTAGGTCAATGTGTTAAAAAGACAAACGCATAGCGAGGAGATAGGTTTTAGTTTCGGTGTGACTGCAGAGAATTAATAACTGACACTAGGGGGTGCTAAAAGCACGCTAAACTTCCAAGTGTGCCTTTAAAGACAAAGGATGTCGGTTCAAAATTGACCAAAATAATCATTATTCTTGTACCTGCGTCTACCCATTTCATGTTTTGTGTTATCTTGTGTGTGTGTGTGTGTGTGTGTGTGTGTGTGTGTGTGTGTGTGTGTGTGTGTGTGTGTGTGTGTGTGTGTGTGTGTGTGTGTGTGTGTGTGTGTTTGCTGGGTATGTACAAAGCAGAATAAACTCAGCAGATCAGTAAGGTTAATATGTGCTCCCAAGAGCACAAAACAAACAAAAACCTCTATTCAAACACTAATGCACTCTCTCCTCTCCATTACTCACCCTGCAGTGACTAACTGACTAAATAATGTGCGGCGTCCCCTCTTTCTGACCCTTCATTTGGCAGAAACTGAGGTAAAAATGTAAACCCGCGTCCACCCTCGCCCCCACTCCCTCCCGGCCATTTTGTCTTTGTCTCCTCACACCTCAGCTATTGTGCGGATACTAAAGGTTTTTATTGATCTGCCTTGAAGCCCTTCTGACTCGAGCCTGATCCTTTAAGCTGAGTCTTTCCAAAAAACCCAGCAAATTTAGTGTCCCACATGATCTAAGGTCAATAAAAGTCTGCAGATTTTAGAAACAGATGAAGACAGGAAGCTTTTGTAGAGAGGGTTCATAGAGCTCTTTTTAAATCATTAAAACAGAACTGGAAGTCCTCCTAAAAAGATGAAGAGAAACTGTATTATGTATTTTTAACTTAACGAGCAAGTCACCATTAACTCAACTTTTGTTTGCTGATAAAATACGATGAGTGACATGACGATGATGCTAATGACTAGTGTGTTTAATCATGCTGTAGACATATGTGGTCAATAATTTGGAACTTTAGTGCATCTCAGTTAAAATTGTAATATTCTGCCTATAACTATCAATGTTGCGCCCTCTTCAGGTAAAAATTCTGTGCTACATTTGTATTTAAATTTGTCATTGCCATTGGCCAAGAGGTACCCTGTGACTTTAGTTGGTACCATATGATGTCACAATGCCGCTCTAAGCCTTTTTGTGTGTATTTGTTAGCGGATCGGCCCTCTCGGTCTGCCAGGAAATGCCTCCTTGTGGTGCATTTTTCAAACAGGAAATGGGAGTGGAGGTGGACTCTGGTAGGGGGTGACTTGCTCCTGTGGATGTAAACAGACACATTGGACTCATTCGCTGCCAGCGTTTCTCACCGTTTTTACTGTTTTTTAAGTCACAGAACGTTGCGCGCTAGCATGATGTCGACGGCAAAACAACCAAAACAAAGCGGAGAGTCACCTCTTACATCAGGAAGAATCCGCGCGTTTCGAGCGTTATCCGTTCTTTGAATCCGTTGTTGGATTGTGATCGGCAGAAGCTTTTCCGGTTCGCGACTCACTTTTTTTTATTGGAATGGCCCAAAACGATCTCCTAACACATGGATGTTCTGTTTCCTGATCATGTGATGTGTGACGTATGCGGATGAAGATCGGCTTCAGAGCTGAGATGTTTGTTTTCTCCGCACGGGGGCTCGTTCCGATGCTCAAACAGTAAAAAAATGCAACTGATGACTGTAGTCGTCATTGGCAGTGAATGAGTTAAAAACCTCAGTCACGCGTTTGCCACCACCTTCCTCCATACCCTGATTCTGCTCACCCAGTTCATCCAGCATGCTATTAAAATCAGCTAAATTTGACCATATGCTAATAATTCAAAGACATTTTTGAGATATTTTAGTTGAAATGACATGAAGCAACATTTGAATTTCATCACTAAATGAATAGAACTGATCATTCTGGAGCTGGCTCCACCTCATCGATTACCTTCAGACTCTTAACTGGTTGCTTTAAGAGTTTCTCCCCCCAGACACTTCCCACCATCTGCTGATGGTCAAAGAATCATCAAGAAGCAGACATGTTGCTTGTTAAAAATGTATTTTATTGATCCGTGCGCATATCGGTGTCAGCTCAGATTCCACGTGTGTGGGGGCATCGGGATGACCCCACTTTGGGCACTTTTACTTAAAAACCCATCTCAGATGGGTCTTCATGCGAAGCCGGCCTCTTTTCCTCTCACGGTCCTCCGAGGGCCCGTGTGGGTTCGCTCTCTTAGCTCTGTGCATTTCAGCAGATCGAGTTACACAGGGCTCCAGAGCGCTCGTGAGTATCGCTTTCACAGCTGTATTGTTGAACGGCTCAGTGGGCTTGGTGTGTTTGAGGGGGCTTCACATAGATCCAGTCAGAAGGCAGTGGGAAAGGATTCACTGACACACAAACAGATCTGCAACTAGAAGCAGTGTGTGTCCTCGGTCCCTCCACAGCTGCAGCAGAACAAGGAGAACGCTCAGGGAGTGCATCTATCCTCCGTCTGAGCACCTTTTCTTTTTTCAGCTTCATTTTCATCTCACATTTGACTTGTAGTATTACTTTGCTCTCCATCTTTGGCGAAATCTCATCTCGTTCATCTGCAAGTACACAACCTGTGTGTCAGTTTGTAATCCAACAGGCCCAGACACACACTTGCATATGCAGCCACGCTTATTCAGCTGATGTCCACGGCTGCCGGAGCCCGTGGTTAATAACTGTGTTTGTTCTCTCCTGCAGACGCTGGCTCGGGATCAGGAGACGATGGTAAGATTACTCACCTCCTCCTCCTCCTCCACATCCTCTGTTCTAACTCCACATTCACAGTTTTGTTTATTATTATTATTCTCTCTATCTGCTCTGTTCCAACCCTGAAAGTAGATTTGTCTTTAACAGGCAGGGCAAAAGAAAAAATGCTTCTAGATAAGTTCAGTTTGCTTGAGAGGAGCGGAAGTTTTCACCCTAAAATGTCATCAAGTTAATTAAATTTAAGGTTGAAAAATGAAGGCATAAGTGCTGTTTTGATCAAATCCCCAAAAGAAAACATGATGTGCAATCTTACACGTTGAAATCGTTATCTGTATTCTTGCCTGGAGTACGCTGTGGCTGCCATCTTGGTTTGGGTCGACTCCAAACCCTAAGCAGGTGTAGGTGTACATCTGGTGATTACTTCATGGGAGGTTCATTTGAATGTGTCCCATGTTTCAGGATATATTTTGCAAGACAGTGACCTCTGGTGAAGCTCTTTAGACTAGGGCTGTGCAGTTATATCAAGTTCGTTTGTCTTTTTTTGAAAAACAAAAATAATTTGAAATGTGTTTTAATTTTGCACGTTGCACAAACGATTCCCATTTCATAGGCTAGCCTCTCATAACTGCTATTTGCACAGGTGGAACTCAGACATTTAGAATATTGTGCAAAAAACTGTTTAAAGCTACTTAAGATACCCTCATTATGTACAAAAGCAGATATTTAATGTCTTTTTCTGTTATAGTTGTGATGCTCATGAAAACCCCAAATCCAAACTCTCAGACCATCAGAATAGTATGAAAGATTCAATATTCTAACTCAAAGTGTCACACTAATCAGCTAACGAATCCAAAACACCTGCAGAGTTACATCTGTAGTGAGACACCTGAGTTTCCACAGTCGCTGCTTCCTGTTGTAACACATGGGTGGTCTGCCTTCTGAAACGAGATCATGTCTCATTTTAAGCTTCATATCATCACTTTTTGAATCTTTATGCTTTCAAAACTATTGGTAGTCCCCCCCCCCACCACCAGGAGTGACATTTGTATTGTTTTTGGGTGTTTCTATTTTATGACAGCTGTTATCTGTGTTTAATGTGTACGTATGTGTATTTTGAACGGCTTTTTAGGTTTAACTCTCCGCAGTGCTTTGGTCAGCTGGCATGCTGTTTTTAAATGCGCGATATAAATAAAATTGGATTGGATTGGATTGGTTAACAGGGCACTGAGAGAAAACACAAAGACAAGAGAACAGAACTGTGGGAAACTGAGGAAATACCAAAACACAAGAGGGCTGTAAAAACCAGATAAAACTATAAAACAGAATAACTAAAAGATGAAAGAATACACTCATAGATGACTTAGTGAAACCTGAACAGAACACAATAAATAGAAAACAAAACTTCAACTGAGCAGGCGAATTGAACTAAACCACAAAGACTGTCTACGGGAAATGCATGAACCAAACCAGAAATCTTATGAATAGGGAGAAAAACAATGAAGGACTGGGGCAGAGGGGTGCCGTAACTGTGGCTGGGTATGAATAAAAAAGTCCAAGGCAGGGGTACACCCTGGTCCTACAGAGCCACAGCTCTGCATGTTTTCCAGCCATGCGTGAACTTGCAGCTTCTAACTGGCTGAACACACCTGACCCAGGTAATCAACAGCAGGAACAACAACCAGTTGGAAAACAAGCAGGACTGCAGCTCACTAGGACCAGGGTTGCCTACTCGTGCTCTAAGGGGACCAGAGCCTAGGGAGCTGGGGTATGGAAGGGACACGGTGGACAAGCAAAGGATGTAAATATTTGACAGATTGCATGACTTCCTCCATCTTTACCCTTAATTTATTCTCACGCACCAAAGACTGTAAATGCTTTAAATGAAGGAAATTTCATGTGCAAATGTCCAGATTAATTATTCCAAATGAAATCTCATTTAATTGTTTCAGAATACTAATTTAGTTTTCCATCTGTCAGACGTGTAAACAGGCAGCTGCTTTCTCACACATCCACTTCAGCAACCTTGTGATCATAATGCAGTAAGTGTCACTCTGGTGTCTGATTATGCTGCCAAGTGGCTCTTCCTCTTTACCTACGCAGTCGTGGAAGCAGCTTTTCAGCGTCACAGTTTGCTCAGCATTACTGCAGCTGTCAGGCAGCGAAAGTACCTCCTCCTCTGAAAAGCTGCCGTAGACTGCACACACACACACACACACACACACACACACACACACACACCACACACACACACACACACACACACACACACCACACACACACACACACACACACACACACACACACACAGGGATGGCAGACATGGCGTTGCCCACATTTCATTTCTGGACCTTTGTTTGTTGCAGAGCTGACTTGTGTCTTTGCATGAGAATGCAGAGGGAAGAAGAGAAGTACTAACAGGTTTCCTGTAAAAAACGGGAGTTTTACTAGAAATCTTTGCTCAGCGACGTAACAATTCCGGATGTCTAGAGGAAAATAGACCATTGGTTTGGAAGTAAATCACGTTTTCGGGTTTAAGCAGGAAAATGATGAGAAAATTGTCAACTAAAGATTCAGATCTTTTACTTAATCTAAACGTTTAGCATCTTCATTACTTTTTCTTTAGTTCCCGTTTCCATCAACTCATTAACCTTTCATCTTCCACACCAATAAAGCACCAACGTTTTATTTCTGGGGGAGGGCAATAAGAGCTATAGTTCATTTCAGGCTAATCATCTTTGACTATTTACTCAAACTTCTCCGTACCTTTAAGTGAGAAGACTTATTGCCAGAGTAAGAATTAAATTCAACTGACATGAACTTCTTTTTGAATTATTTGATTTATTTGGATGGTAAAAATCTACTAATGAGCATACACATGGGTGTAAATGCACCTGAGTTGGAAGGTAGTTTCTATTTGTAGAATAACCCTTTAACAAAAACCACACAATTTACATGATAAAAAGAAGATCAAGCAATACAAAACGTTTACAGACTTATTATGTTTGTGCATTTGCAGCAAAACTATATATCTAACGTGTGTTTCCTGCAAAATTTTAAATGAGATTTGAATTTCTTGTTTCAGTTCTTCCTGTTAAAAGGGAGTTTTCCTCTCCACTGTTGCCACATGCTTGCTCAGTATGAGACTGCTGTAAAGTCTGACACAGGCAATCTGCTGAGTTTTCCTAGATTAAAAAAACTAATTGGCATAATGAAATGATATATAAAGAAGTTTTGTATTATTTTATATTGAAAAACCATAAATCCTTGCTGGGATGTTAACAATGTTCACCTCCATTTTGAGACACAAATTGATTGATTGATGCACAGCAGGTTTTTATTCTCATTTCTCTTAAATAAAACACAACGTCAGGTGTAATCTGGTAAATAGCTGCAAAATATCTCAACCAATCACTTCCTGTATTTACATTTGAGGATTTCTAACCTCATTGTTAGTTTTTTTTTATCCTGAACTGTAAAATAGTGATGCCATTTTATTTAACAGCGGGCACCAAATTTTCAATCCGATCCAAAGATTGAGGCCTAGTCCACACGTAGCCGGGTTTTTAAAAACGAATATCCGCCCCTCCAAAAACTTGCATCCACACCACCTCGTTTTAAAAAAACTCTGTCCACACGTACCCGGATAAATACGTTGTTAAGGACATGCCAGACCTGTAGGCGGCAGTACTTCCCCCGTTCTTAACCTCGTCCTTCGTCTGTGGTCTTCTGCAAGGAGCAGTAATTCCTCTTGCAAAAACAAACAAGCAGAAAGCGCTTGGACAATTGATAAAGCGAGCGCAGCTCTGAGGGCGTCCATGCTGTCGGCTAGTGTAAACACAAGTCGCACACGTGATGTCAGCATTTTTTTGTCGCGGAAAGTGACGTTGCGGACCTTAAAACTCCGGTTTTGTCCGTCCACACGCAGACACCCAAAACGGAGAAAACGCAGATCTTCACTTTGGCCGGAGTTTTTAAAAAGATCCGTTTTCGTGTGGATGACAGGCCAAAACGTAGAAAAATATCTACGTTTTGGCAGATCCCCGGCTACGTGTGGACAGGGCCTGAGGCTTAAATACCTGAGCAGGTGATGAAGTTGCTGCTCAGAAGAAACTAGCTGTCTTTGTTGTGGGTAATTTACTGACTCCTGATTATCAGCAGCTCTGCTTGATTGCAGCTCTGTGCTAATTTGCTTTTGTCATTACTGAAACAAACCGCCTGCACCTGCGTTTCCCAATCAGAGCAGTTTTTTGAGTCCCGTTGGCAGAAATGGACACAAAAAACTATTTCAGGCGTTAAATTGCTGTGGATAATGAATCTGCCCTGCTGCCTCGTCAAATATTTAATTCCAAATTAAACACTTGTCAGTGTTAATTTTCTTTCTGCCTAATTTTTTCCATAAATATTAGTTCCAAAAATATAACCGCTTTTGTTTAAAGTCTCACAAAATGAACAAATACACAATTTCTCTGCAGCATCTCTCCTATTTATGAAGATCCTTCCCATCTATGAAACCGTTTTTAAGTGTATGAGAAAAATTAGAAATACAAATACAATGTCAAACTGTGCAGACCAGCTCAATGTTTTTGTCTACTGTTTAAAACAGTGTAAAAAAGATTGTAAAAATTCAGATTTCAGCCTTTTAAAGTCAAACCCTTGACGGTGGCTTTGACTCTGTGCATGGCAGTCAGATTTGATTACAAGTTTCCTTCATGATGTTCCCCATGGTGTTGGTGTGTACGCTCAAACTGCTGGTGTTGAAGGTAAATGAGTCCCCAGCACTCAGATCACACAGATGGAGTGTGAATTTCTAAAAAATGGCTCTGATGAAAAGAATATTTCTTATAAAGTGAGAAAATCACATATTTAATCTAATCTTGAGCCTGTGTACCTTCTTTAGACACGCTTCTGGATGTTGAGTCAACTGGATCACATAAACCTTCAGTTTATTTTTCGGTATAGTGTTGCTAACGGAGTGAACTGCCGACATACTGAAATACCTGGAACTGCACAACTCTGCA